TGGGTCTGTTCTTCGGAGGTGAAAGTCTTAAGTTAACGCAGACTCTAGCAGTTGGTATATTTGTGGGGTTCTTTACAGCTCATTAAACCTAACTAAAGATAATTTTCTACTAAAACCAGATGTGTTTTGGTTAACATGCTTTCCTTTATATCAAAACTTTTTGTTGTTAACAGACTTTTAGGTCACAGTTTTGGCACATCAGCATTCAGTGTGATGTCTTAGCAATTTTTTTTATGTTAATTTACAATTGTTGTGTTTTTTCTTTGTGCCTTTACAGGAAAGTAGATGGTCCACGGGCGCCCAGGGATGAGAGGCGAAGAGCACAGCACAATGAAGGTGCGTGATCGCCAAGGTTACGGATATTTCAGGGCCGTCACATCTATCACTCCTTTTTAACTTCAAGTTCCTAAGGAAAGACCAGCTTTAATTTGAATAGTGAAGGATGCCATATCAGCACTGATTCATTCTAAGCTTAAATGAACGTTTGAAAGCGATTTTATTTTAATTGCTCTTTAATCGCAGACATGAATGGCAGTAACATGTAAAAGTGCAAATTTGCAGCAGCCTTTTTTTTTCCAGCTCATGTATATCTCCACAGGTTAGCCACAACATTAAATAAATCTTATGTGGGCTCTTGTGTAGAGCCTCTGTGTTCTGGGAATTCACCCTTTGGGTTCTTCTGGTGTCACTCGTGTGGTTTCTGAGCAGTTTTTGTTGCATGGGATGGTGTAATGTCGTGCTGTGGGAGTCTGCTGCTGTTCACACACAGAAACTACCAAACACAAAGGTCACTGAGAGTGGGAAGCAGGCGAAGCTTCTTCTTCTATTTCTTTTCTTTCTTTTATTGACATTTGGCAAACGAATTGGTGCATTACCGCCACCAACTGGTATGGAGTGTGGACCAGAATGTCACTTAAGGATTAGAGCAGGCACAGCTGGCGAGGGAGGTGCGCTTTTGTAAGGATCCCTGGCGAGTGATTGGCCTAATGTGCTCAGATCAGCCAATAGACACGTACCGATTAACTTTGACTGGGCCAATAGGCGGAGGCTTTATACCTGGAAAAGAAGAGCAACAGAAGAAGAACAGAAACAGTTTCACTTATCGTTCATGTAACAAGAAAGGTGGCACATATCGAAGTAAGATCTGCGTGGCAGGAGCTGAGGTTTCCCAGCAGATGTTCAGTGTTATTGACGTCACCAGTCGGTGGTTTTAATGTTGGGGCTGATCGGTGTGTGAAACCACAGCTTGCGAGAGCTAAAACTGAGCATCCTTTTTATTTTCTTTACAGTGGAGAGAAGAAGAAGAGACAAGATTAATAACTGGATCGTCACGCTGTCAAAAATCATTCCTGACTGCAGCATCGACAGCAGAACCGGAGCGGTGAGCGTTGTATAAAAAAACCCTCTGAAGTTCACTGAAAACTCGTGTATATTTTGTATGACCTTGTAAGTGCTGACAGATGGTTACAGAAGCACCTGCTAGCTAGATTAGATCCATTTAGTCTGAAAGCAGCCGTTTCATGTCACTGATCTTTTTAAATTTGCCTCTGTCAGGCCTTCATTCACTTCTTGTTCATCCTGTCAGTTGACTTCATTCATGCCTTCATATCTGATGCGGAGTCAGATTGAAGCACCAGGCTTTACTACAGCCAGGGGCGTGTGACAGTGTTTACTTTATTTATTTTATTTTCAGCTCAGCGGGTAACAAAGTGTTTATACGGACGCAACAACAAAGTGTGTCAGCCGCTGGAGAAAAGTCAGCTCACAGTGGGAATGAAATACTAGAAAGAAAAATATTATATTATTTGTTTGTTCCTCAGAGTAAAGGAGGCATCCTGTCCAAAGCGTGCGACTACATCCGCGAGTTGCGTCAGAATAACCAGCGGCTGCAGGACAGTTACAAAGAGGTGGAGCGAGTCGAGATGGACAACGAGCTGCTTAGACAACAGGTTAACTTCCCATCATTGTGCACACATGTCATATAGGAAAAAAATTAAAGAGCCCCAGAGTTACTTTTATATTAAAGGGGTAGCTTTGCATGATTCAATCCAAAATCATGCAAAGCCTCACTTATTTATTATTGGGCCATGGTGGAAGGCTCGGCTCATGAGCTGTTTTAGCTCCTCCCACTTTAAGGCCCCTTTACCTTAAAGCTAACAGTGTTTTGATTTGCTACCCTTTGCAAACAGAAGGTGGAGGGGGCCTTGGGTCCTCACAGACAAAGCGGTGCAGTGCCAAGAGTAGAGAAAAACGTTGAACTTGAGTGTCTCGATCAGTCTGAACGTTGTGAGCGCATTGTAACATGATAGAAAATAAACGTTGCAGAGGACTGCACCGATAAGCTGAATTAAATTCTGCTCAATATGAGTTTTATCTGTTATTTTTGACTAATAGTGGAGGTAGAGTACTGAGGTTCCACTTTCTTTGCCTCAACACCAAAGCGGGGGCAACAGAAAATCGGTGGTTCAATCCTGGCTCCTCCGGCCTGCATGTTGGGCAAGATACAGAACACGGATTTGTTTCCAGTTCATGCATTCGATTGTGACCATTAGGTTAAAATTGGGCATAGAAAATAACACTTACATGAATGTGAGAGAGAAAAGCACCGCCGCTCTCCTGTTTGCACCTAAAACACCATAAACGTGGCATGAATCAAGAAAGTTAGGGGCATTTTTAATAAAAAAGTCTTTGAAGAATCAAAGATGAATGAAATTAAATACTCTGTCTTACGTTTTCAGATCGAGGAATTAAAGAATGACAACGCACTGCTTCGAGCACAGCTGCAGCAGCACGGTATAGAAGTCAACGGAGATGCAACACCTCAGTGACTGTGGACTGGACAAGTGCAGGATCACAAACACAGAGTCGCGTCCTCCCACACAGCTGAACGACACCAGGAGAGGAGCAAAAAAAAAAAAGAAGAAGAAATAACAGGAGACAATTTCTGTCTGAAATTGGACCAGAGAAACACGCAAAAGGCTCACGAAGAACACCGAAGGACTGCAAAGTGAACACGTCTCCTCCTCCTCCTGCAGCTCCATGAAAAGCTTGAACGCTCTGAAATCCGTTAACTGAGTAGCTAACTGAACCTCTCACTTCTGCTTCAAGGAAATCGACCTCTGCACTCCACCGCCACGCTGCCGCCAAACTCTTCTTTTTACTTTAAATTATGAACCTGCCACACAAAGTTTATTTTTAGCGTCTTTACGTCTTTCTCATCACACAAACTTTTTCCTTTGGGTTTGTTTTTTTTTTTATTTTTTGGACATGCTTTGTTTGAAGCTACTAAATGGTCCCATTTTGTTTTAATTTATTAGTCTTTAAACAATGTGTACACAGAAGTTTAAAAAAAAAAAGAGAAGCTGAAATCATCTCCAGAAATGAACAAATAATGAGCAAATCAGTTGTTTTGATCGTGCTCAGCACTGTTACTAAGAATACTTTTACTGTCAGTGGGTGTTTTGTTTATTTTAATTTCTTCCTCTCGACACTGGTACTCCACACACCAGACGGAGCTCACACACATCGTCCATCGTCAGTGAATTCAAAACTATAATTTCCGTAGAGTCAAAGTGGGAGTGGCTTTGACATCACGGGCATGGAGGTTTTTCTTTTTAGTGTAAGGCCTTAATAGATGCCTACTGGAGAATATAGGTGTTAACATAGCTCAGGTAATTGGGATTATGCACTGGCAAGCGGTTCCCACGTTCAATGACGTCCTTATATAAAGAATTTAGAGCTCATACGTGTCCCCCGTTAGGTGCAATGTACAGATAAAGTAACACAGGTGATTTTCAAGGCGAATCGTCTCTGTCGGGCATTAAACCATGGTTTGGTTGTGTATCTGCTTAATAGGTCACTGGAATACAGGTGTGAGGTCCTGGTTGGAGACCGGCCTCGGTTTTGGCCCACCGGTCCTGCTGCGTTTTGGTGACTTTTTATTTTCCCTATATTACTATTTACACCTTGGGAACCATTGCTGCTGATTCATGACCATAAAACAGCCATGGTCAGGGAGGGGATACGAGTTATGATGATGATTATACCTAACTAGATTTTTTTTTTTTTTTTTGTCTACACTGAAAGTCACCACAGCATGGAAATATAACCACTGGCATGACTAATTCTGATACTACAATAAATGAGTGTTTATACCCGAGTGGTGTTTATTATCGAGGTTACGAGGAAAAGCGTTTTGGGGCTGGGATGAAACTTCTGGTACAATATTTTGGTTGGGTTTTTTTTGTTAAATTTTAACTACAATATAATACATCACAACAGAAATCGGTGCTTGTCAAAATAGTCCAGCTTTAATAATAAACAGAATTAATAAAAAAGATGTGTGTATATATATTTATACACATGTAGATACTTACACGTGCATATATGTATAGATACACAGATGCTTTCCCTCCCCAAAAAATATGTAAATAAATTTTTTTGAATTGTTTTCTTTAATATATTTCCAACCTTCAAAGTGTTATATGACCCTATTTTTTTTTTTTTTTAAATTTTGCTACGCTATGATCTCAAATTGGTCACATTATTCAGATAATTTGATTATTTTTATTCATATTACATCATAACTTTAATATTTAGCTTTACTGTTTTAGCTTTTTATCCTTCATAGTTATGCGACAGGAAGGGTGTGTAAAGGTGTCAGTTTGGTGCTACTACCACAGTAGTACATTTTAAATAATTTATGCGGATTTGTGTGATTGTGTTTAGATAAGTACTGAGCCTTTTCTCTTTCCCGAAGCAGAATAAGTCTATTAAACTTAAGTCTGCTTCTACAAGTCTAAAAGGAATTTTCCCCGGCTGTCATTTAGGCAAAGTGGATTTAAGTTGCTCATGTTCCCTGATGATTATTTCCTGGTAATCTGACTCAAAACTAAACGTAATGAAGGTATTTTAATTATTAAAGCCTTTTAGGCGCAAGTTGTGTGTAATTGTTGCCTAGAGACGGTCGCCACGGATAACAAACCCCGGAAAAACCAGCTCAGTTCTGAAGGTTCCAGAATTCCGGTGAGTAAGATTCGAAGTGACGAAACATTTTAGCTAAATTTAAACATTACAATATTTTTCAGATTTAGATCTAGAAAACATAAAAGGGGGCATCCAGATTCAGAGGGGGAAACGATAAATATTCAAATGAGCTGGTCAATGTTGGTATTTTCGAACACTGAAGTACATTTAATCAAGGGCAGCACTTCGTTCCACATTTTGGCTATTTTAGCCTACTTGACTGTTTTTATCTTGTTGCATTTTCTGATTCCGCTCTATTGCATTTAATGCTGTACTCGTTCATTAATAACTCGCACAGAGTAAGAAAAGAGTACGTCAGTTTTTGTATAAATCAGTTAATTACAGATAAATCGGGGAGACAGCTGGTAGAAAATTTTGGTGCATTTTTGATCCTTTATTCATGCATGTACATAATAAAAAGTTAAATATGGCTTTCCTTTGAACTTGTTTCTACTTTTTGCTAAAATGTTATTTGGAAAAAGAATTGCAAAGGTAGTTTGTACTTTTATTTTTCTGTTTGTACTTTGATTTATTTATATTTTTTTGCATGTTTTCCCGCTTTAAATAATAATAATTTATTTCCTTATATTTTTAATCTAACATTTATTTATACAGGTAGTCCCACTGAGACTCAATGTCTCATTTACAAGAGAGACCTGTTTGAGAATAACAATAAAATTACAACCATAAAAGAAATAATTGTACGTGGTGGTGTAGCCTTTTGGACTCCAATAATTACTTAATTCCTAATATTTCACAAAGGTCTGTCATCTTGTTCTTTCAGCTGCTCCCTTTAGCGGTAGATCATCTGTGTCCATCTCATCAACTCCCTAATATCCTCCTTTGTCACACCGACCCTCTGCATGTCCTCCTTTACTCCACCCATGAATCTTCTCTGTTGTCTTCCTCTTTTCCTCCTGCCTGGCCTGATTTCTTTTGATTGCACAATCCAAATTATTTATAATAATTAATTTAAAAATGTCCTTGATATTCTTACATGTTTTTGCAGTTGCTAAGAGGTGATGTAACTTTGAAAGGAGTATTTACACAGTGTGGTATCTGTTTATTTTCGTACTTTTATCACTGATGTTTTATTAATGTTTCTGTTTCTGGCAGCCTGTTAAATCTCAAATCTGCATTTAGTGTTATTAAATACACAGGGATGGTTTGTTTGTAAGCATGGTTTATTAACACAAAGCACACTCTTTCAAATATATATTGTAATAACATCTATCAGTTTACTTTGTCAGCATTTCATAATGATATTATAACTAACGCTCCAGATGGCGCACTTATATAATTAATACACTATTGGGTTTATTGTGTGCAGTTTTGATAGAGTCATAAAAGTGTATCTAAAGTAGCTGATTAACTGCAATATATTCACTGACACAAATAGAGTAACAAACAATGCAATATTTACCTTGGATCAAAGCAAATTACTATTGTGAGATTTAATAAAATGGAAACATTCAAAATAAAGAGCAAAATGTTGATGAGTTTTTATGATCGTTCAGATTTTTCAGGGGATATAATGCCAATATTTTGTAACAAGGAACCATGAATGTATCTCAGTTTGTAATTGCTACTCATAACTGCACTTTTTTCTGGTACCTTTGCACTGGTGGTATATGTGTTGGTGTTTGATCTTCACAGAGACATAGAAAAAGATCCCCCACGTTTAGCTGTACGTGAAAGATCCAGTGAATCTGGGCCTTGTTTCAGCAGAAATATGATGCCTTCACTAAATGCAAAGCCTGGCCTGCACCGCAGTGTGTCAGAGTGGACCAGCAACAATCAGCAGCTGTCTGCCACAGCTCAACACGAACGACACATTTCGAATGTCATCAGACAGGAAGGGAGGACACTACGCAACGAGACTAACTTTAAGGTGGGGTCTTGTTTTGTTGGCAGAGCTCAAAGGACACGGTCCACTGGACCGTCCAACAATTTCCTTTTTTTCTCCACACGTTGTTAATAAAGCACCTTTTCTCCGTAGACACGCTGGGATGAGACTGATACGTGTCGTAGGCTGAGTGACCGTGTTTGGGATGTTGCTCGGTGGAAGGAAGTGTTGGAGACTTGTGCTCAGAAGGTGGATGAAGAGATGGAGACTCTGACACTGGTGATTTATTCAGACTTTTTAAAAGCAGAGGTTGAATCTGTAGACTGTATACGAAACACGGAAATACGGTAGCTGATATACTTCTTTGTCTAAAAAGTAAAGCCAACATTTCAGTGCCTTAAACCTGTTTTCTTTCTAATGACCAGCAGGTGGTGACACCATCTGGATGTGATAAAATCTCCTGACTCTTTATTTGGTTTAATAACTCAGCAAACATGTTCCTAATATGTTGAAGATCTCAGTCCCTAGTTTAAAGTCTTGTTTAATACAGCCTGATTTGCATTTTGTAAATGAAGCTCTCGTTTGGAGACAATAAATTGGGATGTGCAGAGCCTGAGTAGACTGTGCCCTATAGTGGAAATGTTAGCTTGCCTCTCGCTAATGATTGATTTCAAAATCCAAGATGGCCCCAATATAACTGAGAGGTGCCTTTGTCCATTTTGTACATGTGCACATGTGTCATACTTAAAGAAACATCTAGGTGTTTCTTTGTCAAGTGCTCATAAAATCTTTACTCCTGGTCTCTGAGATAACTTTCATTTATCTGGGCTTCACGCTGGTGTCAGTCCAAAGAGCACACCGAGCAAGCTTTGGCTGCCACTGCTGTTCCTCTGGAGGTCACCACTGAATGCCTGACACTGAGGGAGGGACGGCAAGGGCACGAGCTGGTAACGGACCCTGTGGATGAACAGCTGAAGAAAGAGGTGGAGCTGATTGAAAGAGTGCAGCAAGTTCTGCAGCAGCACACTAGCAGGGCCTTTGAGCAGCTATGGTAAGTTTCTGTTTTTCACTGCTGAAAATGCACGTTGACTTTGGCCATCTTCTAAGCTCCTCCCTTTTTCCTGGTTGCTAAGCATTCTGCAGGAGGTGCGGCACCAGCTGACTGCTGATCTCCAGAACAAGATGGATGCCCTGGATATTGACATGTCCTGTCTGTCACTTACGATAAAATCGCCCCACATCTCCCTAAAGACCAACCCGACTCGTATACCATCAGGGTAATCTTCAGATGAGGGTGTGCATGAAATATGAAGTATGCAGATCATAAAATGCTAGTGTATGATATAATTATTATCATAATTAAAAGATTGGTTGAATATTACTCCTCATTTGCTA